AGCCTTTTCTTTTAACAGTTTTTAAATTTCAGTGCGCATATAGCACTCTCTCGACTCCATGCTGTAATCTTACATAAAGGGAATGTGAAAGGTATGGGCAATAAACTCCACTCCAGCAAGATAAAGTCATTTTATGAAAACCATAGACCTTTATGCTTTATCTACACATGAAGTATAATAATGGGAATATTGACCTTGAAGAGAGTGTCGTCGTGTCGCAAACGAACGCGACGCGCTGTGTGAATTCTGAATGGAGAATGACTGAGGCGAGATGACTTTCCGTTAACTTTAACTTAGTGACTAAAATTACACATTATGCAATGACTTTAGAAGTCTTGGATATAGGGTGAAAACTTGATTGTGCTTTACAAAGTTTTTTATGCCTTTAGTGGGGCTTAACAAAATAACATAATACTATGCAGAATATCGGACGTCACTGAGAAGCTGCAGCCGTGGCGGGAGGATTTTAAGTGTGGCGGCCCGCCACGGGAGAATGAATGTAGAGGAAACACTGTATATATTGGGGGTGTAACTGTTCAAAAAATTCATGGTTCGGTTCGATACGGTTCGGTACTTTTCAAATACAGCAAAAAGAAAAACTGGCAGAGAAATTTCCTTGATTTAATTTTTTTAATTATATTCTTATTAAAACCAACATCATAAAGTATGATATTTTTTTAACTTGAGCAATGATGTAGCTATACTTGACTTTTTTTTAGGAGCATATAAAACAAAACAGCTCCTAAATGAAATGTAATATTGTAATAGTTAAAACAAAGTTTATTTTAGTTTAGATTTAACATTTGGGGCAGCAGTTGTATTGATAATGTCAAAATACAACCGACGTGATGTTACTTGAAAGCATTATGGCCTACTATCCTGCCAAACTTACAGATAGTGTTGTACAGTAATCCATGGTAAATGTTGCTGATCTGTGGACACTGATAGTTCATTCATGGCACAATGTTTCTCCTGGTTTCCACGTCAGCGCTGTTTGATCCGTTAATAATGGAGAAATGTGAATGTTTCTTCACTAGTTCTCGCAGCGATGTTTAACTTCAGTGGCGAATTCAAATGTTTTCTTTAGTGGATTTGGCTGTGTAGTAACTGTTGATCAAGATAGGCTCGCGCTTCACTGGTCCAAACTGATAAACGGTCCGTCATCCAGACAACCACACAATAACGAGTAGCTCAGTTTCGGTCCGCTTACATTACATTATGCCATTTGATGTTGGGCAATGTTGTGGTCACGCCAGCATCTCTTACATTATGAGTACGCTTGCCACGCGCCTACATTTGAAATAACGAAATGTTGGTCGGCAGGAAAAATGAAACCGTTCGTTCGGTTCAAAAATGCGTACGAAAACCGAACGAAAGCCTCGTACTGAACGGTTCAATACCAATACGTGTATCGTTACACCCCTAATATATGTATATATATGAAGAGTTTGGTTCCAAAACGCTATAAATCCATTTAGATGAATTTGAGTAAAACTGTTTTCTTTAGCAAGAAAATGGGAAGATGAAAACCACTATTTTCAGTTTCAAATTTCCCCCCAATTTTTGACCCAAAATGCAATAAATCCAATAATTTATTTTTTTTCAAAATGCAATTAATCAAAATAAAATTTTATACACATTGAATTTCTTGTGCATACTATAAATCCATTGCTTTAATATAACAATATTCGATAACACTTTAAGGGTACATGTCATGAATTATCATGAATTCGTGGATAAATGAATCATCCATAAATTATGCATTCATTCATATTAATATCATCAGGAACCAACAACGTTTTTTTAACAGTTCAACGTTTTTCATTCATGACTTCATGGATGAACAAAACCTTAATTAAAACATTAACTAAGATGAGCACATCATCATGAATTATGATTTATTAAGCATGATCTAACGTTATGCATATCGCTGTTGTCAACCTTGGGACGTCGCCGCTGACCTTTTTTGACGGCGATCAGCTGTAAAATGGGTCCTGCTCGGTTTTCGTTGACTTTGAATAAAACAACTGAAAGTTTTTCAAAAGATCCCTGGGGTCAGTGTGTCAGCGTGACAGAAGTTTGATGCTGTCGTGTGAGAACAAGCAACAGCCGGCATTTCCTCCTCCATCTTCTTCCTCACGTGAATGATTCGATTTCGATGTCACGTTTACCCATGCAGGATGCCTTACCCTCCGCAGGTTCACC